GTTTCTTGATCTACATCATTATGAATAGCTGGGATCTAAGCACTGATTCCTGCAGTACCCCATTAGTCAATGTTTCTTACTGTAAAGGACTTAGGTTTGCCTTCGCTCATCGTTTTCTCTTCATATACCTAAAGAAGCTTTTATAACTGGTTTGTATGTTCCCCACAGGTTACTCTCGTATTCTACTTTTCCCCTCTTAATTAATCTACTTGCTCTCATTTGTGTTGAAATCTAAACTGCTCCCAATCCTCAACACTGTTGTTTGTTTTTGGATTTGTATTCCTTTCCTTGGATCAAATCCTTAGTTAGACATGGTCAGACCACTTTTCCCATTTTATTTTTCTGCCTGACAGGAATGAACAACTATTTCACTTCCTCCATGCACTCTTTAAATGTTTGCCATTGCCTATCCACCATAATTCCTTTAATAAATATTTGTCAATTTATCATGGCCAACACATGTCTATACCATTGTAGTTTCTTTTATTTAGATTCAGGACCCTCATGTTACAATTAACTACATCACTCTCTACATTAATGACAAATTCTATCATACTGTGATTACTGTTCCTTAAGGGGTTTTGCACAGCTAGATCGCCAATTATTCACTTCTCGCTACATAATACTCAGTCTCGGATGGTCGGATCTCACTGTGTTGGATTGACAGTCTTATAAGAAGCTAGGGCAGAATTATGTTACAACCAGTTTGTATGTTCCCAGCAAACTACTCTCATTCTCAACCTTCCCCTCTGAATTGAGAGCTAGTGAGTACCAGTGTGACCACATTTTCTCTGCATGTGTTAGTTTCTCAAGGAGCTTTGGTTCAGAGTTGATGAGCTGGAGTCTGAGCTATGGACATTGCTACACATCAGGGAGGGGGGAGAGTTACCTGGATGCTACATTTCAGGAGGCAGTCATACCCCTTAGATTAATAACATTAATTTGGTTCATGGTCTGGGACAGGAGATATGACTGCAAGTGAGGCAGGATTTGGGATAAAGAATTTTGTCCAATAGGTCCAAGGTTCTCTTGATGTGGACAGGGCCACAGACTGCAGGGAGGATCAGTGAACTGACCACAGCACCATGGTACAGAGTGCCATTTAAGTTGGGAAGGGGAAGAAAGGAAATACCACGGTAATAAAGAACAGCATTGTTACAGGAATTGATACTGTTCTGTGCAGCAAAGACAGAGAATCCAGAGGGTCACATTAATTTCCTGGAGGCCAAGGTTAAGGATATCTCTTCTGGGCTGGAGTGGAAATTGGAGTGGGAGGGGAAGGATTCAGTTGCCATGGTCCATTTATGTGCCAACAACATAAGTAGCACCAGGAAAGAGGTGTTGCTGAGGGATATGAGCAGTTCAGTTCTAAATTTAAAAAAAAAACCCACAAATCTTAGGATTCCTACCTCAGCCACACGCAAATTGGCATAAGCTAAATAAGATTAGCGAGGTAAATGCATGGTTCAAAGATTGGTATGGGAGAAGGGATTGCATATTGGTAAGGCAAATCAGGGCAGGACTTATACACTCAATGGTAAGATCCTGGAGAGTGTTTCTGAACAAAGAGACCTTGGAGTGCAGGTTCATAGTTCCTTGACAGTAGAGTCGCAGGTAGGCAAGATGGTGAAGAAAGCATTTGGTATGCTTGCCTTTTTTGGTCAGTGCATTGAGTATAGGAGTTGAGAATTCATGTTGCAGCAGTACATGACATTGGTTAGGCCACTTTTGGAATACGGCGTTTAATTCTGGTCTGCCTACTGTGGGAAAAATGTTATGAAACTTGAGATGGTTCAAAAAGATTGATAAGGATGTAGCTGGGGTTAGAGGGTTTGAATTATAGGGAGACGCTGAACAGGCTGGGGTTTTTTTCCCTGGAGTGTCAGAGGCTGAGGGGTGACCTTATAGAGGTTTATAAAATCATGAGGGGCATGGATAGGGTGAATGGCCAAGGTGTTTTCCCCAGGATGAGGGTCTTCAAAACTAGAGGGCATTAGTTTAAAGTGAGAGGGGAAAGATTTAAACAGGGCCTACAGGGCAACTTTTTCACACAGAGAGTGGTCCGTGCATGGAATGAGCTGCCAAGGAAGTAGTGAAGGCTGGTACATTGCAACATTTAAAAGGTATCTGGATGGGTATATGAATAGGAAGGGTTTAGAGGGTTATGGGCCAAATGCTGGCAAATGAGACTAGATTAATTTAGGATATCTGGTCAGCATGGACGAGTTGGACCAAAGGGTCTGTTTCCACACTGTAGAGCTCTATGACTCTAAATGGGTTCTGATTCATGGGTCACTGGCACTGGTACCAGGGAAAGAGAGAACTCTTCTGTTGGGACAAATTTCATTTGAACAATGCTGGGATCAGTGACCTGTTGAATCATATGCACCTGGAGTATTGCAAATAATTTATGTTCCCTTATTTGAAGGGACAACTTATTTATTGTTGTACTGGAGGCAGTTCAGAGGAGGTTCACTAGATTGCTTACAATGATAAGGGGTTTGTCTTATGATGAGAGATTGAGCAGTTTAGGTCTATACTCTCTAAAAATTAAAAGAACAAGACAAGATCAAATTGAAGTATATTCAATGCTAAAAGAAGTTGACCAAGTGAATGTAGAAACGTGGGCAATGTAGAACAAGAGGTTTTAGGATAAAGTTGGTAGAGCTAAAAGAGAGATGAGGAAAAATGATTTCTCTTAAAAGGATTGTGAATCGATGGAGTTCACTTCCCATAGCATAGGGGATGCTGGGACATTGAGTAAATTTAAGGAAGAGATGGACAGATTTTTAATTAGTAATGGGTTGAAGAGTTCTGGAGAGTGGACAAGAAAGTGCAGTCAAGGCTGAAATGAAATCAGATATGATCATATCAAATGGTGGAGCAGGCTTGAGGGGCTGGATTGCTTACTTCTGCTTTTGGTTCTTATGTTGCCTTCTTATAACTAGTATTGCAAACAGAACTTTAAAATAATCAAGAGAAGAGAAGGGCACAGCAATTGTCATTGGTGACTTTAATCTGCTTATTATCTGGACAAATCTAGTTGGATGGCTTTTGTGGCATGGTGGTAATGTCTCATCCATGGAAGACACATTGGTAGAGTGCATCAGGAACTGTTTCTTAGAACAGTACTTTGTAGAACCTACACAGGAACAAACAAATTTAAATCTGATGATAGCAAGAATTCCAGATGCTGGAGTCAGAGTCGACTTTACGGCTCCTCTGATGTTGCCTGACCTGCTCCACACTGTACCGAAATTTAAATCTGGTAATGTGTGATGAGTTAGGATTAGTAGTGAAGGATCCTCTCAGGGTAGCAACTACAACATGGTAGAATTTGAGATAGTAAGAACTGCCAATGCTGGAGTCAGAGATAGCACAGTGTGGATCTGAAGGAACACAGCAGACCAGGCAGCATCAGAGGAGCAGGAAAGCTGATGTTTCAGGTCAGATTTCCTGCTCCTCTGATGCTGCCTGGCCTGCTGTGTTGCTCCAGCTCCACACTATGGTAGAATTTGAATTTGAATTTGAAGGAGAACAATTTTGTTCACAAGCCAGTGTCCTTAAATTAAATAAGGACTTTTACAGAGGCAGGAAGAAAGTTTTCTAAGGGGGACCAGGAAAACAGACTAAAGCAAAGATTAGTGGGTCTACTGTGGCACAAATTCCAGAACTCTCAGCATTCTAGGAGTGTTCTAACAAACTGAAAAGCTGGTGAAGTGTCACCGTTACTCGAGAAGGGAGGGATCTTGTACTATGAAACATAGTTACAGAATAAGGGAAAACTCATTTAAAACTGAAAGGTGGAGGTGTTTAATATCTCAAAGGGAGTGATTGCCTGGAATTGTCTACCCCAAAGAACTGTGGAGGCTTGACCACTGTAAGTATTTAATGAGGATGCAGATAGATTGTTGAAATAACAAGGTATTGAGAGCTATGTGGAGCTGGCATGAACGGTGAGTTGAGGCTTGGTGCAGACCAGCTATGGTTGTACAGAATAGTGGGACAGGTTTGAGGGGTTGAATGGCCTATTCTACCTCATAATTATGATGCATTTGTGAAATGCTCACCCCACAATGGAGCCAAAAATGTGCTGTGTCTGTGCTTTTTATCTGCACCCTCATCCCATTCCAGCAAAATTTGCCAGAACCAAGAATGGGGTGGGAATCCTGGAATGGGTTTCTCAACTGACATTTTAAAAGTTTGTCCAATTACATTCTAACATGGATGAAGCTTCTCTCAGGTAAATACAAAATTTGACTGGTTCTTTTTTAAAAAATAATATGGGCAGTTTCCCCTCAATAACCTGGGCAATTTTAATCCCTCAGTATCTTCATTCTTTCTCTCTCTGTGTTCTCCATGTTACACATGGCCCTCACAATGTCAGTTGATCACTTTTCTTCATCATTCTTTATTTAGATGAACCATTGGTATGGGAGTTGTTGGGTGTGTTTATAGCTGGGTGCTCTTTCTGTCGTTAAACCTTTCCCATTATTCAGTGGGGTGATAGGCACACTGGCTGAATGTCACCAAGAAGAGATTATAAGGTCATTATTACAGTGCTGTGGGACAGTGCGAACTTGTGAGATGCATTTTCCTACATCACAGAAATGATGGACCACACAAATCAACATTTTCCACTGTATCTCGGCACATGTGACAACAATAAATCAAATGAAAATGGCCTTTTTTTGTGCTGTAGACCTCATAAGACTCAATGACCCGCATTAAAGCATTGTGTGGATTGCAAACTATTTTTTAAAATGTCAGTCAGAAGCAACTCAGATCAGTTATAAGGTCCCTGGTTCGGTTCTAGAATCGAACTGGACCGGGGAGAGAATGCCCTTTCACAATCTGCAGTTCCTGAATGAATTCCAGCCCAAGAAAGAAACCTCCCGAAAACGAAAGGGTCCAAAAAGCTGGAGCAGCAGGCAAAGGGTTAAAAAGGCTTTGCACCAATTACCCGGGAGCAGGGGCGGAGCTGTGCTACAAACTGGAAAGCAATGGACAAAAATCCACATGAATTTCTGGCTCCAGATATTGCACAGGATTGAATGAAATACAGGTTTAAAATTTGATGTCAGCACAGTCCGTGAGGAAACTGGAGAAAGGTAATGAGACAGAGAAGGGAGTTACAGTTGACAGCGTTGTCTTGGATAAAAGAATATTTGCATCCGTACAGTTACTGAGCAGTAGAAAATCATTCGAGAGATTAGCGATTTCAGATTCAATATAAATATATTGTTGTTGAATGCCTCGCTTGTTCTCTGGCAGAGGGATGTAAAGAAATCAAACATTGATATCCAGTAGACAAACGCTCATGCAAATAAGTGCACATATTCTGTGAAATAGTTTTCATATTTGGGTTTTTAAATCGTTTCTAGATTAACAAACTGGAATTTTAAACTACGATCTGTTGGAATCCGTGACAGCTAAGGCGACATCAGACTGACGTGATATATTCTTAATGTGCAGTAATTAACCTCTGAAACAGTCCGATTTATTTTAAGGAAACATTTCACCATTATTTATCTAAGTTACTGCCTGAAGCCACGCTGTGCATTCACATAGCTGTTTAAAATACGGAGTGCGTTGGTTAATTCACTTCTGTTAGTTTTTCGGCAGTGCAAGGCAATGTGCACATGGACATGTTGGGGCATGTACAGAAGCCTGGGACAGAGGGGCAGAGAAAACCTCACTGCTCAATATTTTCACAATTCTCCCCTTTACTAATCTGAAGGGAGGTCAAGGATTCAAGAATATACTGAGGGAGGGGCTTTTAATTCTTTCGAAAGTTTATAAAGGTCTAGCAGCTGATTGATTATAGATGAATGAGATTGAACACCATTACACTTGACAAGTTATAGGAAGACTTTATGTCGTTTAATAGTGTATACTGCACATGCATTTAATGGCATATCCCTGCTTTTTAGAATCAATAGACCACCTGTGGAGCGTGGTATTGAAAATGATGGGTGGTTTTCTGTATTTAACTTGCATTTAGCACTTTCCGTATTCCCTCAGGAGCTACAGAGCAGTGTTATCAGACAAAATTCTCAACCATCTAATCAAATATTAGGAGAGGAGACTAGGAGCTTGGTCACAGAGTTAGGTTTGAAGATATATTGTTAAACGAGGAGAGAGATTTGGAAAGGTTTAGGTTTTGGGGCTGTAAATGTCCGAAGCTAAAGAGTCTAAGCAACCGAAGTTACAGCCGCTAATGAAGCAACTAACAGATAGCAAAAACTGCAGACGCTGGAGTCCGAGTCAATACAGTGTGGAGCTGGACGAACACAGCAGGTCAGGCAGCATCAGAGGAGCAGGAAAGTTGACGTTTCGGGTTTACATCCTTCAGGGGTGATGTGATGGGAGGCCTGAACTGGTGTAGTTCTCAGGGGACTGAAGAATGTGATGAGGACTTGCCCTTTTGCCATTTCTCTCCCAGTCCCCTGAGTCATTCACCTTCTGTATCTAAAAGCCAGGACAGACTTGTGAGTGCTGTATTCAGAAGTTATTAACAATTCTGCCAGCAGACAATGGCTAGAGTGCACCCCAACCATTTAAATTATCGCCCTTATACTCTTTTGCCTCATTCATTTCCATTTGTCTTGGTGAGATGGCAAATTTAGGCCTGATGTTTGCGATGGTTAACTGTGTCCCCACTGTACTTACTCAGATATTGAACACACAAGATCAGTGCACTGCCATGTTCCTGCTTCAGACTGACCTGAATCCGGCTAATCCTCTGTACCCCTGCTACCTGTGCTCACGCTCTTTTTGAGCATTACCAAATTTAATGACTTCATCAGTCAGGACTGTGCCTGGTGGTTGCCTAGACCCTAAACTCTGGAATATCCTCGATGTCCTGTCTTGTAAAGCTGGACTTTGGGTCAGGTGGATTGCGCAGAATCGGATCAAGCAGAGTCCAGTGTTGCTTGGAGTTGGGAAAAGACCAAGCTGCTAACTGATCCTTGCCAATGCAGCAGTTAACTGAATAAGTTGGTAAGACCTAAAATCCATGCCAGTCAGTTTATAATAACAAAAATATGTTCTAAAGAAGAGTCGTTCCAGACTCTGACTGTTAACTGTGTCTCCACAGCTGCTGGTGAACCTGCTGAGTTTCTCTGCCATTCTGTGTTTATTTCAGCTTATGATAATGGTTGGTTATTGGACATTTCCAGTTTCTAGATGGCCAGCTTTCACATTAAAAGTGCAATATAAATATAAATTGTCAGTGTCCTGATTATTAATTTTCAGTGCAAATCAGGTGGATGGATATTAGCCTCCATCACATCAAGACCAATGTACATGCCCAGACATATCTGTTAAATTCGTAACCTGTCACAATCCCATGGGAAGTGCTGGCTGGTAGTTGGGAGCAGATTTTCTGGGTTACAGCACTCACCATCACAGTGGTTAGCACTGCTGCCTCACAGCGCCAGGGACCTGGGTTCGATTCCAGCCTCGGACGACTGTCTGTGTGGAGTTTGCACATTCTCCCCGTGTCCGTGTGGGTTTCCTCCGGGTGTTCTGGTTTCCTCCCACAGTCCAAAGATGTGCAGGCTAGTGGATTGGCCGTGCTAAATTGCCTGTAGTGTTCAGGGGTGTGTAGATTAGATGGGTTATGCGGGATGGGACTGGGTGGGATGCTGTGAAGGTCAGTGTGGACTTGTTGGGCCAAAGGGCCTGTTTCCACACTGTAGGGGTTTAATGATAATGAAAAATAATGGTCTCTGATACTTGTAAAAGTTTATCAGGCAAGAGTTATGAGGGCATTGCAGTTGGTGAAGGGGAAGGGGCACCTGAAGGTTAAGTGGAAAAAAAGATTTTTATTGAAATTGAGTTCAAGGCCACTGAATGTCCACAAAACACTTTGGAATAATGATGAACTTTCGAAGTGTAGTCACTATTGTAAGGTCTCACAAATAATGAAGTTAAAATGACTGAGTTAATCTGTTTGAGTGATGCTGATTGGGGAAAGGGCAAGGATGCCAGAGACAATGCCCTTGCTCTTTGAATTTATGTCATAGGATACATTATACCTATCTGAGAAAGTGGATAGGGCCTTCATTTTATGTCTCATCCAAAACAAAAGAGCATAACTCCCTCCGTATCACAGTTGGGGTGTTCATCCACGCTGTGGTCATTTGCTGGTGTGATTATAATCTTATGTCTCTGCTGAGGGTGCAATCAACAGAGCCATGGGTGATGTCTCCCTGCTTCTTGGAGAAAACACGAGCACTTTGAACCAAATCCAAAGTAGAAAATGCGCAAATTCTAAACAGACCTGACTGCATCTGAGAGAGAGGGAGAGCTGTTACTATTTTAAATGGTGATCTGTTCAACAGTCATGGATTAAACATTGAAAATGTATTTATTTTCTCTGTCTTTCTTGCCTCCAGATCAGCTCACCAAATGATTAAACACAAGGTGTGATTTTTAATAAAGAATATTGCCAAAGTCAGAATTGTAAATTTGGAACCTGATGTAAATATATAAATTGAATTTGCATCCCTGCCTGTGCCAGTTCCCTCACCTGCCTCTGAAAATACGTGGTTTAATCTCCAAAGACAGGAGCATTACTAGAACAAGGCCTGTTGCTGTTGGTATAACATAGTATCATAGTTTATGGCACAGAAGGCGACCTTTCAGCCCATCATGTCTGTGCATGTCACCCCTAGCCTGACACTCTTCCTGACCCAGTAGGTAGGAATGAAATTGAGCAAATGTGACTGCACTGCACAGCAACGAAAAACAACTTAAACAGAGGAGGATCATGACTGTTCTGAAATGACAATCTGACCATGTTCGTGAAGTGGACAAAGCCAAGAAAAACATGATGCATTAAATAAATATTACACCTTGCTGTAAGAGTCGTACAATAAAACCAATCATTTGATGTCAGTTCAAATTGTCTTCCAACAAGATGTGCAGATCTTATATCTTTTATCTTAGACTTTATTTTGGCTTAATTTTGAAATGTAACCATAATAACATCAGTAATGCGAAACTAAATCGCAAGCACTTGAAATCTTAGGACAACTTCCTTGAGAGATGATCATGAGAAATATATATATAAAACAGACCAAAGGGTCTGTTTCCTTGGTGTATGACTGTATGTTTTATTAGGATAAATAAAGATGGACTGTCAAGTGATGAGAGATCATAAATTCAGTGTTGTTATCATGTGTTGGGATTATGCAGAATTTTTTTAAGCAGCAGATTATTGAGACAGTGACTCCTTCGATACAGTGAGTGGCTGAGGCAGAGACCACTGAATCCTAAGGCAAAATTAGATAAATATTTGAGACAGAGTAACATGAAGAAAATTTAGAAGAGAGCAGGATGTAAGATTAGTTTGGATTAAAGAACTGGCCTGGACTCGATGAAGTAACTGGCCTTCTGAAATTCGGTGACATCCTAAAGCTAATAACCACAAACTGCACAATTTAGGAAACTTGGCTGTAAGTAAATTATTTTTGAAGAAACCATATTTTAAACACAACCAAATTGAGGGGCAACCCGTGAATAACTGAGTAACCAAATAGGCAGTTTGAGGAAACATGGTTAATTTTAATTGAGCAGTTAGCTAGCAGTTGTTTGTGGACTGTGCTGGACATGGCTGTTTTTATTTGCTGCTGAGTTTAATGGAGTTGGACATTTTCCTGTATTCTATCAACATAGAATATTTGTGTGAGCTCTCCCTTTGCCTTTATGGAAAGAGTTTTCACCTTTGAGAGCTTTACAAAATATTTTTTCCTTGTAATTTTTAAACAAAAGCAAATCCCACAATGATGAATACCCTTTTTATTGTTTAAAAACAGACAGGAATCGGTGAAGGAAATGATTGGCCAAGTTAAAGGTCACACAAGAGTAGTAACTGGGTTGTTGCTTCTTACCTAATTTCACTTTGGTTATTGTCACCAGATAAGGCAAGATAAGCTGGTGGAGGCACTCATTGACTGATTAGCAATAAAAGTGAGATCAGAAGCTTATTGATGGAGGGGCGGAATCTGAACTGCTACAGTGACGCCGCAATGAAAAGTCTTAATTCAACAAGATGTATATGAAAATCTGTGTTCAAATTGCAGGCTGTAAATCCTGATCAGTTCTTGAAATATTAAGAGAGAGTGTTGGACATGAGACCACAACTGGAGCTTCTCATTTTCTTTTCTCTGGTAAGTATTACTCTCCTTGTTCATATTAAAGATTGAATGGTTATAATAGCTTTCAGCTCAGGCACTCAGTTGCTTAACAAGTGCAAAGACCAGGTACTTTTCCAGGTAGTATGCCAGCAAAAAGCTTAGTGGGCAGGAAGCCTCTGGCGTTTAATTTTTCTCATCCCTTGCTAGCCACAATAACAGGCAAAATCATTTCCAAGATTGGAGAAACTCAGCAGGTCTGGGCAACATTTGTGACCCTTCTTTAGAACAAGAAGCATCACTGGACTCAATGTAAATACTGTTTTCTGTCTACTGATACTGCCAGGCCTGCTGAGTTTCTCTAGCAATTTCTGTTTTTGTTTGTTTCGGATCTCCAGCATCAGCAGTTCTTTGTTTTATTTCATTTCCAAGACCAGTGTTTTACAAAGTATTGTTGATGGTTGCTTCAATTGATCAGTTTCAGATCAGAAATTCCATATTTGTATAGAAGGATTTGTACCAGCAATGTTACCTTATCTATTCTGTGATGAGAGATCTCAGAACCTCCTTGTCACCTTCCAGAGACTATTGCCCCTGATTTAACGTGCTTCAGTTCTATTTGTAGGGCAGTGGTGATTAAACAGCCAGCTAGGTGCACACCCTACTGCTGTGTCAAAAACCGCTTCCGAGCCATCCTGTTGGGTTTTTGGATTTGACCAGACCACCTACTGCCTGCAGGCAGGGGTGGGGGAAGGGTCTTATCGATTTTCAAATGCTTGAAATTGAACTAAATCATCGATCCTTGATCCCCAGGTGGAAGTCAGTGGTGGCTTCTGGAGCAGGGGAGATGAAATAGCATGGAGTTCACACCATGGGTGGGGAATAAGGGTGTGGATTGCCACCTGTATCAATCGCGACACACTCCACTTATGTTCCAAGGGATTCTCACCTCCCTCTTAAAAGCATGAGCCCTAATTTTAATGAAATTACATTTCTGCTCAAAAGAGGGGCAGCACGGTGGCACAGTCACTAGCACTGCTGCCTCACAGTGATAGGGACCCGGGTTCAATTCCACCCTCAGGTGACTGTCTATGTGGAGTTTGCACATTCTCCCCGTGTCTGTGTGGGTTTCCTCCGGGTACTCCGGTTTCCTCCCACAGACCAAAGATGTGCAGGGTAGGGTGGATTGGCCGTGCTAAATTGCCCATGGTGCTGAGGGATGTGTAGATTAGGTGGGTTATAGGGGGATGGGTCTGGATGGGATGCTCTGAGGGTCAGTGTGGACTTGTTGGGCCGAAGGGCTTGTTTCCACATGGTACGGATTCTATGATTCTATGATTCTAAGAATGTCCTGGAGTTGCACCTGCATGTGATCCAGAAGCTACCACCTGTCCACCAGCTTCATCGACTCGCACAGTTCATGCAACGTGCAGCACTAAAGTCCAAATTAGACAATGATATTTAAATGTTTAGAAGGCCTGTCAGTGGTGTGTAGGACCAGTGACCGTGAAGACCCTGGTGGTGGAATGCTGGGTGTTACATAATGGAAATCCTCACTGGCAGGATTAAAATTGTGGCAAAGGTTTCATTGATTAGGAAACTTTGAATCTTTTCCAAAATGTACCACTGTGGCTGTGAATAAAACACAAGTAATGTCTTTTGCTGCTCTGACTTGTGAGACTTTCTATTTTGATCCCAGGAGCAGCTGGTATGTGTTGGTCCGTCCAGTCTATTTGTGCAGTGCTCTGTTGAACATCTATTAATCCATGGGATCTTATGAATAGTGCTCATATTTCACATCTCATGTCAGATGCCACTGTGAGATGTTTTTGTAGTTGGAGCTGTCATCGCTGTCAAAGAATTGCTTTACACGGAGACAAAGCAAATAAGAGTAAAATCTTAAAACAACATTTACAAAAAAAAAAGCAGTGATCAGACATCTCATTCAACTGGATGCTGGCTTTGAGATGAAGACATACCTGCAGAGCAGCATAACATCAATTATTTATCCTTTCTGACTCCTTCTTTAGCCTCTCGGTGTTTTAACCAGCGTGAGGGATTGCCAGGAGAACGAGTTTTGGGATGTTGATGGAACCTGCAAAGTTTGTAAAGAATGTGGACCTGGAATGGAACTGTCAAAGGTATGAAATTGCACAGTGAGCCAGCAATAAGTCCAATCAATACAGAGATACTTCTTAGTTACTAAGAGAATATCTGATGACTTCGCACAGGGGCAGACATGATAGCTTAGTGAGTTTGCTTTAAGAGAGTTGCCTCAAATGAAGAGCAGATTCACTACAATCATCTTCCTCTTCAACTGTTAACAATGTAGATTCACTCTTGATTAAGCTCAATATCAATTTTAATATGATTAATGCAATCTCAGATTTCAACCTTTGCTGATTTGATTTGCCTGCTAGAATAGAAAGGGTGGTGAGAGATCACATCAGAGAGTGTGCTGTGGACCTTTGTTATGGTGCTTGAAGTAATCAATCCTAAAGCATTTAAAAAGGGAAATAAAATAATTTATTAAAGGTCATGTTCCTAATCATTGTGTTTATTGCATAATGTATAGGTTGCCGAAATATGCTGAAGGAATACAAACATAACCCTGGTGACTGGTGGCAAGTCATTAACATGAGAAAACTTCCACCTTTCATATCTTGCTTCTGTCACATACTCAATATCTAGAGCTGTGCTAACAGTGAAACTGCACAGAATGGCATGGAATTTAAATCAGAGAAATGATATTCAGCCAATTATGCTCTAGCTCCCACCCTACTTCATCTCATCTGTCAATGTATTCTCTATTCCTTTCTCCTTCATGTATTTAATGAGCTTCCCCTTCAGCTTTTTAACCTCCTGGACAATGTAAAAACACTTGCAAATAGGAATTATGAATGGAAGGAGGACAGGATAGAACTATTGTTTTAAGGCACCTCCCTTCTGACAGAGGACCACACACATCATGGCCATCTTCTGTGAAAGCTGTTGCTGTGTGTTTTTGTCTGTAGGTGGTGAAAAACAGAAAATAGGTGGCAATATGAACATACAGGCATGTAAACATGTGAAATAGGAGCAGAAGTAGACTATTCAGCCCCTAAAGCCTACTCTGTCACTCATTAAGAACATGGTTAATGTGTTTATGTTTAAAATTCCACATTGACATCTTTCTCCACCTATAACCCCTGATTCCCTTGTCTAACAAGAATCTATTCACTTCTGTCTTAGAAATAGTCAATCATGCCATGTCCACTGCGTCCTGAGGCAGCAAGTTCCAAAGTCGAACAATCTTCTGAGAGAGAGATATTCTCCTTACCTCTGCCCTGAAAGAGTGGCTCCTAACTTTAAAACAGTGCTCTCTAGTTCTGGACTGACCCACAAGAAATAGCATTCTTTCTACTTTCTACTTACCAAGATCGATCAGAATATTACACAGTTGAATCAAGCCATCCCTCAGTCTTCCAGTCTCAAGTGGAAATATGCCCTATTCTCACAAGACAACCCACTCATTCCAGGTATCAAACTAGTAACCCTCCTCTGAAATGTCTCCAATGCGTTTACAATCTATAAACAAGGAGACCAAAACAATACACAGTATCCAAAATGTGTTCTTACCAGTGCCGTGTATAACTGACGCATACCATCCTTACTTTTTATGTTCAATTCCTTTCATAATAAAGGAAAGTATCCTGTTAGCCTTCTTGATCATGTGCTGTACTGGTACATCGATGTTTTGTGACCCATAGGCAAATCCCTCTGCTTTTCAGAGTTGTGCAGTCATTCTCCATTTATGTAATGCTTTTCTTTTTTTTTAATTTTCCTACTAAAGTGAACAACTTCGCAGTTTTCCACATTAAACTCCATCACCAGATGTTTGCCCATTCACTCAACCTGTCTGTAACATCCTTTTGTCTTCTTCACAGCATACTTTCCCACCTAGCCTGATGTCTGCATTAGGTATCATCATTAATGTTGCAGTGGTCCTTATTTGTAGGATGGCAATACTGGAATGCTGAGAACATTGGAACACAAGGTCCGTACCTACCAGAGGACTCTCCTGACGTGCATTCCCTTTGACAGTGCTGGCCTTGGAAGCATAAAATCATCATTAATGTTGCAGTGGTCCTTATTTGGAAGCTTACTGAGTTGATGACTGTTAACATCATTCTTACAGGACTGTGGGTTTGGAGTTGGGTTCGGTACAGAGTGTGTGATCTGTGGATCCAACAGGTACAAAGACAGCTGGGGCCGGCAGAAATGCAAGCTGTGCCTTTCTTGTGCGCTCGTGAATCGGATTCAAGTCAGGAACTGCACAGTGTCTCGTAATGCTGTGTGTGGGAAATGCTTGCCAGGGTGAGTGGAAACGCAGTGATTCTCCTTCTGTTCTTCGAGATTCATTTTCCCTATATTCAGTAATTTTAACAAAAGGGTTGGCATATTCCATTTTATACTTGTCAATGTCTTGGCTGACACGAAACACGGAAAACTACATTTTGTGACCTCGTGACAAGCCTGTACTAGTAAGTGGTAAGTAAATTGTGAATCAAATGGGCTGGTTTTTCTCATGCAACATGGAGGGCAATTATTTTATAGGATTGAGAGAATGCATATTGTTAATATTTGAATTGTAGTTAATGAAATGAGGGGTGCCAATTCTGCAGAACAGAACTCCCTTCCAATTAGGGTACACAATCTCAGTTTCAAGGACACCCAGGTCAGATTTCACATAGCCAGCTGCAGTGTAAGGTTCCTGTGCACTGTCTTAGTAATAGTGCAAGGAGTGGAGGAGTGTTCAGGTTGTTACATAAATGTGTCCATGAAAACATTCTCTGTTTGTTATCTTCAGTTGAATCGCAAATGTAGTTTTTTTCCTGAAATTGCTCAAAATGTCATCCAGTCTCCAGCCCTGTAAAGGTCTAGACCAGTGTTGCCTAATTGCTAGTTCTCCATTAATATTTTCTTATATTCATTACCGTCTCGTTTTGATTCTGCATGATATAGATGGTGCACATCTACTGGGGTTTCTCACTAAGTCTTTTGCTTCCTTGTAGATTCTATAGGAAGACCCGGCTTGGAGGATTGCCAGATACAGAGTGCATTCCCTGCACGGATTCAGCTCCTCCCAGTGAACCTCAGTGTAAGTGATCACTTCACCTTGTGCTGTCTTTTCCTGTGGCTTGAGGACATTCATAGTCCTCATTTTCATGGGAAGTTGTACAAGGGACAGTTGTCTGATGGGATGTTTGGGAGTTGAGTTACCCACTCTGGAGGTTTGTGCTTCCAACTCCCATCTCTCATTCTGAGTTCTCGTGACATGTTACTTTTCCATGACAGCAAAAAGCCTTTAATTCCCACTTGGAAAATAGATAACTTTACATCTCATCTGCGATATTTTTCATAAGCTGTTAAACATTCAAATAACTTTCGATCTCCTTCTGATTTTTCTTATCCTGGGTCACTTGAACCAGTGTCCTAGAGATAAATTTTCAAATCCTGGGACCTCCAGCTTATTCTTCATGGTTTGACAACCTGAGTGTGGGCTGTTGAAATTGGAGTGCTGTAGAACACTGGAGCACAAGATCCATGTCTACAATTCCTCCATTTAATAGTCTTCTGATTTCTCCTTCCAAATAAAGGACAGTGTCATACAAAGGTCAGGTCATAGGAGCAAGTGAAAACCCCAACCATATGTTTTGCAATACTATTAATAGAGAGGTACTGGCAGAGACCTTGGAACAGGTTGTACATCCATTCTGACTGCAGGAATAATATGTGGGACAGAGAATTTTTTTTAAAAAAATCTGTGTTAAACAGATAACATTAATAAAGACTGAAAAAATTTCTAGTACAGTATTCTCACTGAAACAATTTTTTGGCTGAAATGAGAATTTAACATTACAATACTTCTCAAGTGTTCTTTAAGCATAGAAAACAGTGCCAGTGATGAATGAGACCACTACTGTCTATTAGCAGTTAACCAGGATCTTTCCCAATCTTTCTGTCGTTCCAATCCACAAATAATGATCAAATGAGATTAAAGGGTAGTTTATTTCACAGTCAGGCATCATGTTTCTCCTTTCTGCTGCTCACAGCAGCACACAGATACTGAGGTTTGTGGCTGAAAATGCAGGAAGTAATATTCACAGGGCATTTAATGTGTGAACATGATTATTCCAGTATGAAATAGTTTGCAAGGTGAGAGGTCTGCTGTGCATTGACTGCAGTCTCTGTTATACATCTTAAATAACCCATCTTTAAAGCATTGCAAAAACCCTACAAGTAAGGTTATTGTAGAGATATATTTGGAATTGGGTTAACCCCTCCTCCCAGTATGTTTCCAAGTAATCACGGGTTATGACACATTTAGCTTCAGTCAATGGGGGCATGTGCCACTGGGTCAGCCCTGATCCATAAACCAATTGAGCAAGCTCCAGTCCCACTGAATTTATGACTGTTTACCAACTTCACTGTGTAGTTTGCTCATGCTGATTTTAAAACTCATTAGGCAGTTTTTCTTTAACTCAAAGGCTCCTGGTGGCACTCTGTATCATAAAGTGTTCACCTCATTGCTCCAAAACGTAATAGCATCTTGTGCAGCTAAAATGCACACCACACAATTCCACTTGATCTTAAAGTTGCAAAACTCTGCTAGTACTTTGGTATATAGCCATCCAACTTCCATTTTATGTTCCAAAAGGCAAAAGAAATCCCTTATAAAATGTAGCAAGAAAGTTATTGGATGTGGACAACCGTAAAAGGGTGAATTAACTATGGTAATTTGCATCACCGGCTCAGTAGAGACATTAAGACGATTGAAGAGGTAAGAACTCTGCATTTGGATTTCCCACAATTTCCCCTCTATCTGCTTCACAGGCGTCTCCAGATTAGATGTGGCGAGGGTCTTGAGCTCTGACACTGGTCCATACAACACTGCCCTTGTAGCTGTGATCTGTAGCGTCCTGACAACGGTGCTGCTGACCACCCTGCTGCTCTGTCTCTTCTACTGCAGAAAGCTGATTGCAGAAAAGCAGAACAATGGTAATGGAGGTTCGTCACTCTGCGTTGGTTTGAACTGGTATGAGCTGTAACTCTCTCACCACTGAGTGCATTTGGAGCTCGTGAGGAATTGCCTGTCTTCAATGCTTTCCCTTATCCTTAGATTTTCATTCTGTTAAAGTCAATATTTAATGATATATTCTCTTATTTTCTTCTGCATTTGTTCCCGGGAACCATTCTTTACAATCTTTTGTGTATTAAACCTCAAGCTTGGCTTTGCCTCCTCATGATATTTCTTGTTTCATCTCGATTTCTCTTCTGTTCCTTAGTGCACAGCAATGACTACACTTCAAAACTATTTATTTGCTTGTAAAACATTGGGGTGTGCAGGGATTATAAAAGGCATTTGCGAATCCTATTTTTTTCTTTCTGCACTGAGTCACTTTCCGTTACCCAAACTTCTCTTGTTAATGCTGAAAGAACTTCCCATCTGGGTCCAACATATTGAATGTAACACACTGCTGCATCATGGTATGTTGGCTGATTCTGTAAATGCTTCACTTTTCAGGACACCCAAGACCCCCCGTGACTGAGAGAGCCAGAATAGAATCTTCATGTTCTGAGGGACAAGTGGATGACGCGAGCACTGAGAGTTTGATCATACGCTGTCAGAAGATCACTTCTGGCCACAATATAGCACATCCTGCAGGTAAGAGAAGTCCACTTGAGCATCAGAAGCAGCGGTTAGCCATACACTAATTTGAGCTGGGTCTGCCATTTAACAAGATCATGGCTGATTGACTTCAGGCCCACTTTTATGCCACATCCGCTGCTTCTTCATTGTAATGTTCAGAAACTTAAAGATCTCAGCCTTGCATACAACAAAGGACTGAGCATCCCCACTGTCTCTGGAGAAAAGGATTTGAAAGATTCACAGTACTTTGAGTAAAGAAATTTCTTATCATCTCAATCATAAATGGACGAGACCTTTATTTTGAAGCAGGGTAGATTTCCTTCCAGAAACCAGCTCAGAATTGTATATGTTTCAATGAGACCGTTCAGTAATATATCAAAAGTGTTAATTGTGTTGTCTTATTGTGGAATATTATGTAGAAAATCATACTCGGTTATGCGTTAAGTAATGTTTCTATATAACAGATTCCCACTTTATGTTGTGGATGCCAATATATGGGCACTGGGCATGTTTATGTGGAACTTCTGACTCTGCCAGTTTAGTGAAGGTGTTCATGTATTTAACATAATATGTGAATGAATTTCACAAATGGTAATGTCATTGTCAACAAAGTGATGGAAAGGGAGTCATCGACAATGTTATCAAATTTCAAGGGAATAACCTGAACACTGACGCTCAGTTTAGTTACTGTTAGATCACCTGGCTCCTAACCACATTAAAGCTTTCGTCCAACCATGGACAAAAGAACTGATCTTGAGCTCAGAGTGATTGCCCTTGACATGAAGGTGGCATTTCATTGAGTTTAGCATCATGGAGCCTTAGCAAAACTGGAGTCAGTGGGAATTGGGCAAGAGAGTTGTCCATTGGTTGGAGTTAAACATGGCACAAAGAAGATGGTTGTGGCAACTGGAGATTCATCTTCAGCTGCTTTATCAATAACCTCCAGCATAAGGTCAGATGTTTGCTGATGACTGTGTAATATTCAGCACCATTCCCAGCTCCTCAGATGCTGAAGCAGTCTGTATCTAAATGCAGAAGACCTGGACAACATCCAGGTTCAGCTAACAAGTGGCAAGTAACATTCGTGCCACATGTGTTCCAGGCAATAGCCACCTCCAACAAGAGTAATTAGTACCTTTTCCACTGCCTCTAATGTTCACTGTCTTCACCACCAGAGCACTGGTGGCAGTGTAACAATTGCAAGACGTACTGCAGTAACTCACAGTCTCCTCTGACAGACGCTTCCAAACCTTCCACCTCTACTACTTGGTAAGACAAAGGCCAATACATGGGAAGACCTTCCTGACTTGGAACTATATCACAGTTCCTTCATTGTAGCTGGCTCAAATTCCTGAAACTTCCGTCGTAACGTCACTGTGGGTGTCCTGACACCCCAAGGTGCAGTTGAAGTCTAACTGAATTAGCATTTCTGACCAAGAGAAGCTAGTGTAACTGCAGAATGTCATTCAAGTATCGTAATTCCTTGTGTTCTACTTTTATACTCAGGACCAGCAGATGTGGTTCAGTCTGAAGATGCACCATCGACCTTAAGATCATGTATTGTGGCCTATTTCTCTCCATCAGGATCTCAAGACAAAGGCCGGAGGTAAATTGCAAAATTCCTATTCTGTCAGAGATTACTGTAGGATGACATCACCTGGTTGGGGTGAATTAAATCTGTGAACCAGAGCACTGGTTATTTATTTTACTTGTATCCACTGAGGGGGTGTAGGCAATGTTCAAATGGGTCTTTAAAAAGCTAGTTTGCATAGAATTGCGCCAAGAGTAGAATTAATTTTCCATCAAAATTCTTAAAGGTCTTAATGTTACTGGAATGCTGAACTCCCAGTGTGTTATGCTGTAATAAAGCCTATTAATATGTACCTGTTATAGTAATAACCTGATTGAAGTACAAATGCATCTCATTGCAAAAAGGCACAACTGCAGATGATGTAACTGAGAAAATGACTATGTAGCACATGGGACTGACATTCCTTCAGGTTCCTATTGGCCATCCAGCAGAATGTGTGTGAAAGACCACCAAGTCCCAGTTGAAAAGATCTGGGGCAGACGTTTGTCTGCAGAGTTCAGGGCCCCACTATGAGGTTGAATTGGGGATCAGAATCCTGCACTGTGTGTGGGAAACAGTCATTCACAGTGATGCTCCCTAGATAGATCCATTACTGGCCAGAGGACAGACTCACTGTCCAGTGAATCATGATGGGTGGACTCTCGAAGCTGGAAGGCCAATAGTGGGCCTTCCAACATTGGCATTGAAGTTGGCTTTTCATGGTAAGAAAATGAGATGGAGCTCCAGAATGAAGGTGCCCTCTCTCCAACATTTATAAAAGCACAAAATAAAAGAAAAATCCTTTAGCATAGCTGCCGTTCAAGCCTGACAGATATGGACTTGCCTGTAGTTCCACTTCTACCACCCCCCCAGCACCACACACACATAAACACACACACACATAAACACAGACACAGACACACATAAATACACACACACACACCACACACACACATACACACACACATACATACACACACCACGCACACACACATACATACACACACAACACACACCACACACACTGCAAACACATACATACACACACACATACACACACAACACACACACACATGAACACATACAACACACACAAACACACATACACACACACACAACACACACATACACACACACACCACACGCACATAAACACACACACACAACACACACCACACACACACAACACACACCACACACAAACACACACACATACACACACACACAACACACACCACACACACATACACATACCACACACAAACACACACGCACATACACACACCACACACACACATACACCCACACACACACACACACACACACACACGGCTACTGGGAGGCCCATTACCGTGCAACCGCAGTGTTTTCCAACACTTACAAGAACTTAGAACTGCAAAATCCTAATTAGTCTAAAATAATGGGTATTTGATGGAATTTATGGCTGACTTGTCTACCATCCGATGGAAAGATGGGTAGTCTTGCTCCCACCTCCCCCTGGCTTCATCTGCCTCCAGGGAGGTGGCCTAAGGTGATGGGATGGAGCAAGGGAAACAGGCCACCAGTCCAGGAGCCTAATGACTTGGTATCAGGCCTCTATCATTTCGGGAAGTTTCCGATTTGCCTTAATAACAACAGAACTATGGCAGATCCCTCATGTTTTAAGGAGACCTGTACCAGGTTATCATCTCACAGGTTTATTTGAAATCACACAGGCTTTTGGAGTTCAGCCCCTTGGTCAGGTTCAAGGAGAGAGCACAGCACACAGACTCAGAGTTCATAGGCAGAGAGATCAAAAGAACTGGTGTGAGTGGAGTGTCAGATGATAAGTCTCTGCAGGTGACCAAGAGTGTTAGACGGTGAGTAGTGTCAACACCTGAATAACCAGCGAAGGGATGACCTATAATCTTATTAAGAGAGGCAGAGAGATAATTACAAAAAGAAATAAAAATAAGGTGGTGCTAGAGACAAACTAAATGACTGGAATCACATGCCAAATTCAAAACTGTACCAACTAACTAACGTGGAGAGATTGTAACAAGTTATCAAGGTGATGCTGTCAAAACAGGACAGTAAGGAAGATTTTACAGATACACAACAGTATGATGGCGTCATCTATAGTGCGACATGAAGCCGAGATCACAGTTGAGGCTGTCTTCATGGATACGGAACTTGGCTATCAGTCTCTGCTCGGCGATTCTGCATTGTTGTGTATCTCAAAGTCCACCTTGGAGGACGCTTACCTGAAGATCAGAGGCTGAATGCCCTTGACCGCTGAAGTCTTCCCCCACTGGGAGGGAATATTCCTGTCTGGCGATTGTTGTGCAGTGTCCATTCATCTGTTGTGGTAGCATCTGCATGGTCTCGCCAATATACCATGCCTCAGGGCATCCTTACCTGCAGCGTATGAAATAGACAACATTGACCGAGTCACATGAGTATCTGCCGTGCACGTGGTGGGTGGTGTTCCCACGTGTGATGGTGGTATCCATGTCGATGATCTGACATGTCTTACAGAGGCTGTCATGACAGGGTTGTGTGGTGTTGCGGTCAATGTTGTTCTGATGGCTGGGTAGTTTGTTGTGAACAATGGTCTGTTTAAGATTTGGCGGTTGTTTGAAGGCAAGAAGTGGAGGTGTAGGGAAGATCTTGGCGAGATGCTTTTCATCATTGATGACACGTTGAATGTTGTGAAGAATGGCATAGTTGCTTCGCTCTGGGGAAGTACTGGGTGACGAAGAGTACTCTATTGGTCATATCCTGTGTCTGTGTTCCGAGGAGGTCATTGCAGTTTATTGCTGAGGCATGTCAGAACTGGCGATCGATGAGTTGAATATTGTATCCTGTTCTTATGAGGGCGTCCTCCAAAACCATCAGTGTCCGTCACATTCCTCCTCATCTGAGCAGGCCCTGTGTATGCGCCGGACTTGCCTGTAGGGGATATCTTCTTTAATATGTTTAGGGTGGAAGCAAGAGAAGTGCGGCATTGTGAGGTTATCCTTGGGCTTGTGGTAGAGTGAGGTACTGAGGTGTCTGTCCTTCATGGAGATGCATGTGTCCAAGAATGAGATTGATTCTAAAGTGTAGTCCATGGTAAGTCTGCTAGTGGGATGAAACTTGTTGATATCGCTATGTAGTTGTTTCAGTGATTCCTCCCCATGAGACCAAAGGAAGAAAATGTCGTCAATGTATCTGGTGTATAGCGTTGCTTGGAGGTTCTGTGCTGCAAAGAAATCTTGCTCGAACTTGCACATGAAAATGTTGGCATATTGGGGTGCACATTTCATCCCCATAGCTGATCCATATGTCTGGATGAAGAACTGGTTCTTCTTGAAGGTGAAGACACTGTGCTTGAGGATGAAGCAGATGAGTCGGAGGATGGCGTCTGGAAATTGGCAGTTGTTGATATTGAGTGTTGAGGCTGTTGCAGCAATGCCTTTGCCATGGGGTATGCTTGTGTACAGTCCATTCTGACGTGGAGAGTTTCTGGTTCGACTGGTCTGTGGGTACTAAGTTTTTGTGAGAAATCTGTAGTTTCGTGACAGAAGCTGGGGGTTCTTGTACAATGGGTTTCAAGATGCCCTCGACATAGCCAGAAAGATTCTCGCACAGGGTCCCATTGCCTGATATGATGGGATGCCCAGGCATGTTGGCTTTTTGTATCTTTGGAAGGCAGTAGAGGTCCCCTACGTGAGAAGTACACTGGATGAGAGAGCATAGGATAGTCTGGATCAAAATTCTTGATCAGTCTGTTGAGTTGATGGGTGTGTCCTTTGGTTGGATTGACAGGTAGTTGTCTGTAGTGTTTCTGATTGTTCAGTTGTCTGTACATTTCTTTGCAATAGTCGGTTCTATTCTGTATGACAATCGCTGCTCCTTTGTCTACTGGTTTGATGATAATGTTGCGATTGGTCTTGAGAGCATGGATGGCGTTGCGTTGTGCTTGCATGACGATCTGCACTACCTTGTGAATGTGGCTGATGAATCTGCTGTTAACGCATCTCCTGATGGCCTGAGCATACATGTCGAGCCTGGGGTAGCAGCTTTCTGGAGGGGTACAATTCGACATTTCTTCTTTGGTCGCTGCACCACGATCTCTCAATGGACTGTTCTGGTTCATTGGTTGTCTCATTGAGCTCACTGCTGACACCTTGGGGTTTGTGGAAGAATTCCTGGAGCCTCATTCGCTTGATGAATTCCTCTCTGTCTGCTGCAAGACCAATGGGGTCCAGTTTGGTGGTGGGGCAGAAATTGAGCCCTTGGCTGAGAACTTTGATTCCGTCTGGTTGAAGGATGTGGTCAAACACGATGATGGATTTTCCCTGTGGTGATACCGCTTTCAACTGTGGTACCAGGGGAGGCTTGGCTACTGGCGGTGATGCCAAGTTTCTCCAGTTTGTTGTTTTTGGTGTGCATGTAGGTGATGTAGTTCTGTTGCCTTGTCTGCTTGGCAGTGAGTCGTGACTGTTCTGCTGTATCTTGAGCACAAGCTGGGAATATGGACTCTATCTCAATTTCAAAGTTGCGGCGTCTACTGTTGAGTTGGCTGTCAAGATGATTAAGTGTGCGAGAGGTGCAATAGCAGAGACTCTCAGCATAGTGTGTGTTGTAGGTCAGCTTGAGTGCATTCATGCTCTGTAGTCCTTTTGGGATCTTCCCTGGTTTCTTGCATTTCTGCAGAAACTTGATATGTGTCGATACGTGCGGTCTTCTTGGAAATCCTCTCCACTTTGAGCCGGCAGTTTGTGGTGTTGATGGTAGCCATGATGTGGAGGTGCTGGTGTTGGATTGGGGTGGACAAGATCAGAAGTCACACAACATCAGGTTATAGTCCAACAGGTTTATTTGAAATCAGACAAGCTTTCAGAGTGCAGCTCCTTTAGGATCAGTGAGGGAGGAGAACACGCAGACCCAGAGTTTACAGGCAGAGAGATCAAAGGCAGAGAGATCAAAAGATCATACAACTGTTGTGAGTGAAGTGTTAGATGATAAGTCTCTGCAAGTGACCAAGAGTGTTAGATGGTGTGTGAAGTGTC